TCCAGCGACGATCATTGCCTGTTGTCGGCTTCCGCGGATCAGACGGCACGTATCTGGGATGTTCACAATCAGATCGTGCAGCACATCGAGGTAAGCGACCACGCGGGACCAAAACTTTGAATAAATGTCAATATAGGAAAATTCACGTTATAAATTTGAAATAAATTTATTACAGATGCTGCCGCATCCTTCGTATGTTTATTGCGCCAAGTACGGTCCCGACAATGCGACGATCATAGCAACTGGATGTTACGATCGAGTAGTTCGCATCTGGGCGAACGACAGGAGGTCAAGGAAGCGAGAACTGAATCAGGAATTAGAAGGTCACGAGGGTTTCGTCAATTCCATGGTCTTTCAGAAGAATGGTAATTTGATTACCGCCGACAGCGTAGGACTGATAATCCTTTGGACGTTCCGCAGAGATAATAGGATGCCGTCAAAGAGGATGGGATGCATCTCAAAGAAGATAAAAATTCGCGAGATCGAAGGTGTCATTATCAACACGATCGTTCTGCATCCCCTCGAATCCAGGCTCCTTGTGCATTCGAGAGACAACGGCCTGCGAATGCTGGACCTTGCGACCGGAGTGGTGTTACAAAAGTATAAACGATTGAACAATCAAAGGCACGTTGGACGAATACTATGCATTCTTCGTACTTACTCGCGTTTTCAAGCATCGCGACTAACTTTCTTTATATATCCTGTACAACCTACGAGGACAATTTAGCATTATCGAATCTCTTTTCTTTCTCTGTCACGCTCTGCCTACTTTCCTTAACTTCTTGGTATTTTTTGGCATATTAATTTCTTTCTTTCATCTTATTTATCTCCCCAGGTAGCCAGTATATTCAAGCAATGTATGGAAATAAAATGCCAGCAACTGATGCTAGCTTCCTAGCTCTTCGCTAGGAATATGAATTCAATGTTTGAGTGACTTAAGTACAGCTAGCATAATGTTAATATATGTATTGTCGTAGTTGAGTGCACAGCTAGAGAGAGAACACATTGAATGGGCATACTCTTAACAAAGAGTTAGCATACGTTATTTTCAATTTTCTAACAGATATAAACTTGGTATATCTATTACATCTGGTCAAGCACTTAATGGTAGCATAATGTGAGATCATGCAAATGTATTATTTCCGACATCAAATGTTAGCAAACAACAGCACAATAGACGACATAAATGCATAGCAAGATGCTAATATTTTTGTGCAATACAAAAGCAACTTGTGCACACTGGCTATCTGGGTCTTTTCATTTTTACTTCATCTTCTTTCAACATATGCTCCAATGTTATTTTAATTTAAATTCATTGTTCACTGTATAACCCAGTATTTTCTGTTAT